ATGTCAAATATATTAATCATGTTAATTATATTATATAACATATATTATCACATTTATCAACTTATTATAAAATATATTTTTTAAATTAATAAAAAGTTTATAGTAATGTTTAAAATATCTAAACAATTAACTTTATTAATGCATATATATATTATGTATCAGATATTTATTGACTTAAATTATTAGCTTATTTTTGTAATTTCAGGTCATTTATTACTGATAATCATTTTTGATTATTTTTATATTTAGCATTCTATTAATATTTAATATAAATTGATACCTAACGTACAATAAATACATTAGAAAGTTAATCAATCAACCTCTTTATATTATTTATTAATTGATATTAATGATTAAATAAATCAGAAAAGTATTTATTAAAATATAAAATAGATTTAATATTATTTTAATTGTTAGACAATTAATATTAACCAGAAAATAGAATTATTTTAAGTTCAAAACTCAAAATTGAACAATTAATAAATATAATTATTAATTTATTTATTAGATAACATATTATATATAAAAAAAATTTTGCTAATGCTTAAAAGTATAATTTTCTTAATAATAAGCATTTTATTTTAATGAATTAACATAGAATGATAAATCCGACATTTATGGACGAAATTGCTTAATTTTTCAAAATAAATTTAGCCTAAATGTATGATTAAATCCCCATATATTAAATATATTGGCTAATAAACATTAAATACTACCTTCATTATATAATAGAATTCGGAATGTTTATTTTTTTTTTTTTAAAAAAAATAAACTTCAAATTGCCTCGTATTATTTAATAAGGTATTATTTAATAATGCTCAGAAATACCACCATTAATTTCCTTCGGATGAGAGGTCGTAAGAAAATTTTCAATTTGAAAATATCTTACATACGTCAAAATTTGGCCTGAATTATGGTTATTGTTGTAATTCCGGCTCGAATGATGATTTGACGACTTTACTACTATCTAAAGCAATTAGAAGAGGTCTTATGAACCGAGAACCCTACTAAAATTTTTCGTAAATGATTGAATTAAGTTTCATCGTTTCTAAATCACTTTTTAATACATTCTTGGAATTATAATCCATATATGTATTATTTAATTAAATTTTGGTAACCTACCTGGAGATATTTTGAAACTAGAAAAATTTCGCGACCAACAAAATCCATCCGAAAATCATTTTTTTTTTTAAAAAAAAAAAAAAGTGTAAAAAAATAACCGAGGTCATGGTTATGAAGATCAAACAATATGTTTAAAATTTTGTTTACATTCATTAAAGAATGTCACAAATAAATTCGCTAATTGAGTTCCGGAAAGAACCGAAATAAGCTTGTAGAACACATTAAGTATTATTTATATTGGTGATATCGAAGTGCCGGATCCAAACAAATAACTTTGCATTTCAATTTCATTGTTGACAGAAATGACAACGGCAATTTCCGAAAGAGTTTTTAAAGTTTTTTTTTTTTTTTTTGAATTTTTTGAATTTTTTGAATTTTTCTTTTTTTGTTTTCGTAAAAAAAAAAAATTTTTTTCCTTAGAAAATAGATATAGTTTGGCTTGCTTAATTTGAACCAACAAAGATCAAAAGATGCGTACAATGATTGTGTTTTTATTTATGATTAATATAATCTTGACCGATTATGGAATAGCTTTAATGATGAATAAAAATTAAAACAACGTGGTGTTACATTTGTAAAATGTCATACAGAATAAACTTTCAAAACTCAGAAGTTGTGCAATCTGATTAATTGCATGTTAAAAAAATTTCTTACTGACCGAATTTATATCACACACTATTGTAGTCGTCGTGAGTCCTTGAATGCAGTTATGGTTGCATTAAATTCAAACTTTAAAACTTCAGACTAAGTCAGATTAGGAAGGTTACTAAAATAATGTTTCTGCATCATATTTTTTTAAAGTAGAGCAAACTAATTCTTTCTCAAAGAAACCAAAAATTGATATGCACAAATCAAAGAAAGAAAATTCTTATCTGATTACATTTCAAAGTTTTACAAGCAGGATAATTCCCGCCAAACCCTTTATTACAATTATTGTTTTTTTATAAAAATTTTTAAAATCATTTTTGATTGGTATTAAGGTTCCCCTTTTTTTTTTTTAAAGAAATTTATTTCATATATGTAAACTATCTTCAACGTTTTGCGGTTGATGCCGATACAATAACAACATTAGTTAGGATTAGTTTAATGCAATTTACCAACCAGTACCAACACACACAAGTGTTTTTTCAGTGCCCTTTCCACATTAGGGTAAATCATTAAATTATTTTTAGAAATTCCTCTGACATGTTTTGGAGACTTGTGGCTTAGCGGTTACACCAAATTATGAGAGTGAATAAGGTGAAATTAAAAAAAAAATGAATCAATGGTTATTTTAAATCATTTTGATCACGAAAAGATAAAACTGCTCGACGCATCCTTTGCTCGTGTCACCGTTGAATCAATTTCAAGAGTCATCAAGTTTCGTTTCAGTAAGCTGCGGTCGATATTAGGTTCATACATTTTTTTTCAATAAAAAGAATTCTTCAAATTTGGAAAGAGACGGAGAAGCCGACCGTTACTATTCGTTAAGCAGGAAAAAAGCAAGCAAACACCTGGTTTGCTTATCCAACCTGGAAAAAAAAATTAAAAGTAAGCATGTATGCTGCAATGCTGCATGTACAAAGACGAAATTTATTTCATACAGCTGTTTGTAAATTTCATCTTACCTGCTTTCATAATTTGATTATGTAATCTCATTGAAGCTAAATCAATTTTGACAAAAAGCGACAACTTTTTTTCGTGCACCATAATTGCCTCCTGATTTCTTGGCGTATTTTGTTTCCTATTCTGAAGCGTGTAATCAGTTTCTGAAAGAACTAATCATAATCAACTTGTATCGGGTTGTTTTTTTTTTTTTTTTTGTTGTTTTTTTTTTTTTGGGACATTTCTAATTTGCATCGTAAACTATTTATTTCTCCTGATTATCTTGGCATTTATTATTATTATTATTGAGTGGTGGTCAGAAAAAAATTGTCACTATTGACGAATGTCGGAATATCATGATGATTTTTAATAACAATCACTTTTGTTTTTTTTTTTTTTTTTTTTTTTTTGAAACAATTATTCATTCAAAAGTTTCTCCATTCAACTTAGTACATGCAAATAATTAATTAAGACGCAGTATCCCCCTCCCTCCTAATTCGTTCATTCAGAGAAAATTCTATGGAATTTCTTAATTAAAATATACTTTAGAGTAACCATATGAAATGTTCGAGGTCGTTCTTTTTTTGTCATAATGATTATCATTAACATAATCGTTTAAGTATGCGAATAAAATGAAAAAACAAAAATGGTGAACAAAACAAATATTGATGCACACAAGTGATTATTTTTTTTTTTTTGGTCTTTTGTAAGCAAACTAACGTAATCAAATAAAAAAGGTTCCTTGTTCTTGTTAGCTTTTGAAATGTCACAAAGAAAGGTGATAATACTTATGAAATCGGTCTAAATTATCGCCAAGGCCAAGGGCTCTCTTTTATCTTTTCAAAATCCTAGAACTAGCTTTAATGGTAACCCAGTCACACATTAATAATTGACCATTTTGTTTAGTCTACTTTTCCATCTAATTTTAACATGCCATTTTTTTTTTTTTTGATTGTAAATCTCGATTGAAAACAGGTTTAGTTCTTTTTTTTTTTCATATGCCGATGAAATTAAAGATACGAGTGATAATTTAAGCATCATGAGAACAGGAATGAAAATGGACATAAAGAAAGTCCACGTGTTACATTAATTAATAGAATGAACTAACTTGGGATTAGTGAACCTCTGTCACAAGTTTTAAATGAAAATCCTTGGGACACGAGAATGGTCACACTTTTTTTTGGTCGTACCAAAAAAAATAAAAAAAAAGGTGATATGCCCAAGTATTAGTGAAAACGAACGCGTGTTCTGCTATGAGAAGGTTTTTACAGTTTTAAATACATCACTTTTTGTACGCGTAGAAACTTACCAAAATTTTCCGCAGTAATTGTCATTGTCTATAATAATAAATGCTAATACGAATCCGTGAAATCTAAGATGAATAAATGCTAAAGCTATTTTTTTGCGTCACAGTTCAAAAAAAAAAAAAAAAAAAAAAAAAACCTAAATATAAACAATAAACAAAAAGGCAATTTCACGGGATTGCTTTTATTACATTGTTTGCTTGTGCATTGCATATAGGTAACAATACTGAACACATAATCAAACAATGAGTTTTTCTTAAAAAATTCTAGGACTTTTTTTTATAAGATTGTGGGGTAAACTTTACGTGATTTTTTCCTTTTTTTTTTAAAAAACTTATTTAACCCAAATAGAAATTTTCTTCGAAAATGGATTAATTATCAAAATTGCAATTAATATATTTTTTTTTTTTATTGTTCGGATTTTTAATTTTTGTTAAAGAGGATTACAAAGTGGATTGTGAAAAAAAAAAAAAAAAAGGAAAAATAGATAAATAAAAAGAAATTTACAAATAAATGAAAAAGTAATACTAAAATAAAAAGTAAAAACTAAGAAAAAAATAACTAAAAACTAAAATTAATAAAAAAATTTCATTGGCAAATTATGATTATTTTACACGTGTTTAAACTCTTTAAATTAAAAATCTTCTTTTTAAAGTCTAAACTGTATCAAACATAAACGACGAAAATCTAGACGAAAATGGATAAATGATAAAAAAATTACTATACAAGAGAAAAAAGATCTTCGTCGTTTCTTTGCAAGAAATACAAATTAAAATTAAATTCATCTCAATAAACTATAACCAAAATAATATTAATTAAAATAATGAAAATAATGTCCAAATTAAAAAAAAAAGTTTATCTTGTTTTAAAGCGACGTACAATAAATAAATCCAACATCGCGAAGCCCCCCATTTTTTCTAATTGTACAGGTTTGAATATTCGCGCCCCAGGCGCGAAAATGAAAAAAAAATTGAACTTCACACCATTAATTCAAGAAAACCAAACATTTTCCGTTCCCAAAATTAGATCATCAGAGTTCTGTGAAGCGACGATTACAGGATCTACTACAGAATTAGCGGGAGAACCAGCATTGCTTTGTGAATACTGTTCTATTGATGCCGGTGACCCATGATCAGGTGATTGATGTCCTGAAGGTGAATCGGCTGATGGGGACGTACTTATACTAAGTGGACTAATTCCACCGTTTTGGGTCCACATTTGAGCCGTAGTATTTGGAAATTGATTGTTCCACAGCAATAAAGAATTTGTATCCCAAAATGATCCATTAGAATCTATATCAAATTGCTTAGAATTTTGCATTTGTAATAATGGATTGAACGTTCCAGATGTTGGAACGGTCATGGGAGCGCTAAGACCAGAAGGTGTGATCGGCATTTGACCAAGTGAATTTGTCAGCAATGAATTTTCTTCCATGGAAGGTTGTGCGGGTATGAAATCGAACTGATCTAAAGATGCTGATCGTTCATGTTCAGGGGGAAATGAATGTTGCTCAGATTGATGGTCTTCAGGTAGTATGTACAGAGATCTTTCATGAAAATGTGGGGGAGAGGTATTTTGTGGGTAATTTGAAAAATTATTAGGAAGGCTATTTTGAAATATTGGTTGATTCGTTTCAGCAGGTCTTAATTCTGTGGTATTCTGGGTGGTCGCACGTCTCCTAACGATCGGTCTACGTGGTCTTCCGGCCATGTGCGACATAAGATTTGGTGAATTGGGTTGGGAGCCTGGGTGGAATAACATCGCTACTGCTGATTGTCGTGCTTGTTGAGCCGAGAAAGCTGCCTCCAGATTATTAACTCTATCTCGAAGATCCCACGCCGCGCTATGTTCGACGCATACCTTGAGAACACCCAACGTTCTCAACAGGTGATCATGCGCTAATCGTGACACTCTCATCTCGGGGGACGACATATTGACGAGATGAATCATTGAAGCGGCGACTAGACAATAAACTCCGTAATTTCCCCCACGAATGGGATATTGGAAAACCATTGGACCCCAATGTTCAAACATTGTTTGTGCAATCTGTGATATACTATTAGCGGACGTGGTACACATATTCAAATGTTGAGGATTTGATTGTGGAACTTTACCACTTTCAATGGATGTGATATAAGGTCGATGAAGTAAGATTACGATGGTGTGATATAAAACGTTGAGGAAGCCAGCGAAATGTGAAGTCGGAAGGTGTGGAAGAGAATTAGAATTATTTTCCATTGATGGATGACATTTAAGTCTTGATGGAAGTGCTTGTAACCAAGCATCTAAAACGTCGTCAAGGATTTGCAATTTTGGATTCGCCGTCCATGATTGCAATACCGCACCTGAACCGGATGGTGCAATGACTGACATTACGTTAGCCAAGATTTTAGCGAGGCGTACAAAGTGAACGAAATCGGTTTGAATTTGTAATTCTTGTTCATCTTCATAATCCTCTTTACGTGGGAGCTCAATGTCGGTGTTTGATAATGAAATGACAACTTCTCGGCCTTGCGCGCCGCTCATGAATTGATCACAAAGGAAGCAAATTTGCCATACACGTTTTCTAACAACCGCATCTCCACGCGAAATTTGTAAATTCCACTTTTCATAATTTTTGTTCAAACCTAAATCTTGTGCCATCCGAATGATAACACCAAAGTATAACCAACTTCTAAAGAAGAAACCAGGTCGACGAATGCCTTCCTGAAATTTCAACATTAGAATTTGCGCTTGTATGGTGGATAACCTTGGTGTGTCTAAGAAATCATCCAATAGATCTAGAAATTTAGATTTGTCAATGTCAGAAAAAAAAGATCATGAAACGCCGCAGCAATTAACCAAATTAATTGATTTTTTTTTTTTTTATTACCTTTAGCGTGATTATAATATGCATATCCAGCCGTTTCCGGTTTCATGGGATCGAGTCGAACGTTTACGTCATCAGAAAATTTTGCACCCATGGCTAACACGGAATAGAGCAACAAAGGTGATATAGGATTTGACTTATCATTGAGACGCCTTAAAAAGTCGGATTTATGTAAAATCGGAACGTATGGATGTACGTGAATGAAATACAAGTTGATTGAATGGTTGATCAACTCGGGTGATGGATTGCAACCGTTCGAAGGAAATTGATGGTATGGTAACGGAGGTTCGACCAATATGAGCATTTCCGGTGGAACTTCTTCGCCATCTTTAAGCATTCGACCTTCCATCGAGTAAATATAGTTAGCTCGACCAGAATAATCTATTTTCATATGGCCCAAGACATCTGTGAGCGTGTCAACATAATCGACGCTTACTATTTTTATTCAAAAATTTTTGATAGGAAAACAAAGTATGAAAAAGAAAGGGAATGTTGAAATGGGATAATTTTACAGGATTGAATACGGTGGAAGGGGAGAATATTTTATCGAGGATGAAAAGAATTTAAAAGGATAAAAAAGAAATAACTATGACTAAGTGTACTAACTTAAATTATCTAATTTCTACATTATGTTTCTTTTTCACGCATTCACAGTCATTAAATAAAGAAAATTATGCTCACCTTTTCTTACTTGTTTTTCTTCCTCGTCAAGTTTATTTAAAAGGTTTTCGGATCTTTGTAATTTTTCATCCATTTGTTCTTGTTCGGTCTTTGGGGCGGTCCTCTTCATGGCCATATTTGAAAAGATACAATCAATTTTTAATTTTCTGCAACTTGAGCAGGGCGTTTGCGAGCCACCAGAGCCACCATCGCATTTAACCTTTCTACGACGGCACGACTCGCATGCACGTGTAACTTTTAATCGTTTATATCGGTGTAAGTCATCGACAAAAACGTATTCCATCATTTTTTTTTTTTAAAAAAAGGTTATTAAATAATAAAGAAGAAAAGAAAAAAAAGGAAAGGTATATATAAATATCGGATATAAGAAGACTAATGCTAATGGATGTAATCTTGTTGAAAAGTCACAATGGTATTAATGTTTCAAACAGAAGATACCGTAATTTGTTTTTACTTTTAATTTTATTTTTAATTGGGAATATTTATAAATATCCTGATGAATGTGTATGAAATATAAATTAAGATATTAAGACGTTAAAGTAATAGATACGAAAGGTACGTATATTTCGAAAGAAAGAAATTATTTGGGGGGGAAGCAAAAAAAAATCTTTCTTTAAGTAATGATTTTATTACCGACAAAATAGATAAGCCAGTATTTTTCAATTCCAATAGAATTTATAAATAGTAAAAAATAACAATAATAAATAAATAAATAAATAATATATCTTTTTTTTTTTTTTTTTTTTTTTTTTTTTTTTTTGGGTCAAAGAAAGTATTATAAAAAAAAAAAAAAAAAAAAAAGATTACGATAAGAAAAAAAGTTCAAGGGGATGAACGATAAAAAAAAATTATTGGGATAGTGAGAAAATAGGGATTATATATTGATTTTTTATATATGATTAAATAAAAGTGATGATTACTTCTTAAAAAGAATCTTGGATCTTTTTGTGAAAATCGAAATTTTTTTTTTTTGCTTTTATCTTTTGGTCAGAGAAAAACTGAAAATCGGTTGTTAAAATAAATGAAAAAAAAAATTAAAATTTTTTTTTTTTGTGTGTATTTTTGAGGTGGGAAGAGGTTGCGAAATGTCTCAATTTAACATCATTTCGATTTTTTTTTTTTCTTATTTAATTTTTTTTTTTTATATTAAAAAAATAATATCAGGATATAAATACAAAAAAAAAAAAAGAAAAAAAAAAAAAAAAAAAAAAACTTAAAAAAACATTTGTCGCACATGTATAAAATTTTGTTTTTAATATATTAAAAATTTAGCGAAATT